CACATATGTTGACCAAAACCCCAAAGTCAACAGAAGTCAAACTCGAGTCAACAGTCCAAGTTTGACCCGACTCGTCGAGTGCACTCCTGCGACTCGTCAAGTCCCCTCGTATCCTAAGAAGTCTCAAAAGTCCAGCTCAACTCGTGGAGTTGACCCCCAACTCGCCGAGTTATCGCATAATCAATCCATCGGGACAAACCCTTGCCGACTCGTCGAGTCAGGACATGGACTCGGCGAGTCCCTTTGATATGATTTCTCATTCAGACGATTTCAACCAGATCTATCACTCTAAACTATAGATCTATCATCTCAAGGCTCAATAATTACGTAAAGCTTCGATCTTTACGTTCATACATGATGTTATTGCTTCAAAATGCCAATACATGCTCTTCATGAAGGTTTTTGCTCATCAACCCTCATTTGGACCACTAAAGCTGAGACATCTAGACTCTAAGGACCTTAGGAGGTCCAGATCTGAGGTTTCCAACCACAACCAGGTCTCATTCGACTCATAGATTCAAAAGAATGGAAGCAAATCCCTAAAACTCCCAAAATGAGATCTAGTACAAGGAATGAACAAGATGAGGACTTTGTACCTTCTCTTAGCAGCTGAAACACTCAATACCACAGATCCAATGCCTTCCTTTGTTCCCCATCATGAAGCTCTTCATCCTTCTTCATAGAAATGCACCAAGAACCACAATATGAGATTCTCTCTCACTCTCTAGCTCCAATAGAAATTAGGGTTTGCTCTCAGGGGAAGGTAGCCGCGAATGAGGCTATAAATGCCTTTAAATAGGTCCCAAACCCGGGAAATTAGGGTTTCTCTACCCAGCACCTACTCGGCGAGTCCCTCCTCTGACTCGTCGAGTCCATTCGTTAAATCCACGCGAGCAACTCGACTCGACTCGGCGAGTTGGTCCCTCAACTCGTCGAGTCCCTCCTTAAATCTCAAGATTTACATACACAATAATCTCCCTGAAAATCCGGATGTTACAATATCAAGCACAGTAAGCATATCACATATCAATCCTAGATAATTATCACAAAGACAATCATCTATCCAACACTCTCACTTGTGGGCCGACATTGTGGCCATAGACCCACCCCTACTAGAAGGAAACTCACCTCGAAGTCGTGTAGTGTCTGCGCTGATCTCGGTGTGGAAATCGACTCTCCCCGACTCCTCAATCCCTACACGACAACTCTTATAAGTTATCAACTAATACTCGTAACCCTTACAAGGGTCACTCAATCCAGGTCAAAGTCAAAGTCAAAGTCAAAGTCAAAGTCAAATTCTGGTTGACTCGACTCGCCGAGTTGGCCCATCAACTCGTCGAGTCCCCATATCCACAAAAAGTCATAATCTCGTCCCTACTCGTCGAGTCTAGCAAGATCACGATGAGTTCGCCTTCAACAACACATCGGACAATCTTCAACCGACTCGCCGAGTTCATCCTTGAACTCGCCGAGTTTATCTTCATCCATAAGAAGATGTTTAGTCTATGACTCGCCGAGTTCCCTTTGAACTCGCCGAGTCCGTCTTCATGTGGCTGGGACATTGCCTTGAACTCGCCGAGTCTGTTCATCCACTCACCGAGTCCTATGATTCCCAAGTCCCTAGTGAACCTAAACAACTAGGGGAACCTTCGATCTTAACAACTGGTCCATAAACAGAAAGGATTTGGTGGAAAATACACCCCGACTCGCCGAGTCCCAAGAACGACTCGCTGAGTCCCTCTATGTCCAAAACTATACAGTTGATTATAATGGGTCTTAACGCGTCAAAACCATAGATCTGGCCTCCTAGGGTCCATTTTATACGTAAAGCTTCAAACTTGATGTACATGCATGGGGCCTTTGGCTCAAAAAGCCATAAAAGGAGGTCTACAAGATGCATGTGTCTCTTATGGCCATAAAGTTGACACCTTTATGCCATGAGAACCCTCCAAAGTCCAAATCTGAAGCCATATCTCCACATTACACCCCACAACCCGAAAATGGCTTAGAAATGCCCTAAAGATACCAAAATCCAAGCCCTAAGTTGATTAAACACATGGAAAGTCAAGATTGAAGCTTTTTACCTTAAATGAGCTGGAAATGGAACACAATCTCTGGATCTTCTAGCTTCAACTTGAACTCCCAAGCTCCTTCCTACTTCTCAAGCTTCACAACCACCAAAAATGCACAAAAATGGCTTAAGAGCACTCAAACAAGGCTAGGGTTTCAGTTTAAGGTCTTCTGGAAGTGTGAGGGACGATGGAGGCTGATATGGGAGGGGATAAGTTGTTTAAATAGGGTGCAAACCCTAAATATTAGGGTTTTGTCCAAACAGCTCCTACTCGTCGAGTCGGTCTTCCGACTCGTCGAGTAGGTCACTTAAACCCCCGATCAACAGTCGAGTCTACTCGACGAGTTGGGTCTCCAACTCGCCGAGTCCCAGAGTAAATTTCAACATTTCTTGAATTTAAATATGTACCAGGAATCGGGTGTACATCTTGAAATCAAAATTACATTGAATGGAAAAAGGAAGCAATATCTTCATTTCTAAAATACCATTAGTCTTCACATCCAACAGCATATCCATGAGTTTTTCTTATCAGTGGTGAAATCTTTAAAGGCCTATGCAGTGAAAAAAAAAGCAAATATTAATTCATCTGCAAACACTTCAAACCAATTACAAAAGATGCCATAGCAAGACAGATAAATTCCCACATGTTGAAAGAAAATATTTAGTTTTGGACAGACTGAAAATCAAGGAAGACGTTATATGATAATGTTAATTGAGGTAATAATTCATTTATAAAATCTTTCCCTGCTCTCTTAACATAAATAAACCACAATATAGCAGTGTTAACTACCCTTTTAAGCTTTGATTTGGCAAGACATGGAGGAAAAGAAGGCTTACATGTTGTAATTAAATATAAACACACTTTCTTGCATTGCACTTACTTGCAACGGCCCCAATTTAAAAAAAATATGTGTTTTATTAATTTATTGAATAAAAAAATATGGATATAAAGTGCAAATTATGTGTTTTTATTAGTTTATGCTACTAGGATTAAACCTAAAACCTGCACAGGTAACAAACTTGATTTTAAAAAGTAGAATACATAAAGTGCAAATTATGTGTTTTTATTAATTTATTGAATAAAAAAATATGGATATATAGATAGATAGATAGATATACCTACGAGAGATTAGCAACTGCCAGACATATGGAATGAAGAACTCTTCTGGGTGGCTTTCTTGTTCATATGTGAAGCGTAAGTGGGTGAACATTTGAATTTACAACATAACATTAAGCTACTCCACATCATAATCAAGAAAAAATCCATGAAAAATGTATAAATAGAAAAAGCCTTAAGCAGTTAAGCACATATTCACCTGGGCATGTAGAATACAATCCTGGCCAAAAAGTAGAATTGGTAAAGCTTGTCTCTGTATCTCTGTAGGCATAAGGAATCCAAGTTCTTCAATCCTAAAACAAAGTCAGGAAAATCAATCATCATACTTTTAGCACCGGTCAAAACAAGAAATATTTACTACTAGATTTATAAGCTTATGAACCGATAAAAAAAGTGTGCATCATATCACATGTTGATTGGAAGTTGTAATTATTTTACAAATAAGTTATTACACTGAGTAAAATCAAAATAGATCAATCTTGAAGCCAATTAAATTCCATTCATTCCCTTGTTTGTTAAAAAACAAAAAACCCCATCATATATATAACCCAATATCCTACTTATTTTGTATCCAAAGTAAAAATATTGCAAAGAACCCGTTTTTACAAAAATATTGAACACCTGACTATCATCTATTTGTGGAGCATTTCAAAGCTCAATTTTATTTTGCTAACTCATAACTTTGATCAGAGTAAGTTATTCCATACAAGTCGTAGCAAATTGAAGTATCAAAACACCGAATAACGGTAAAACTTACCAAAAGAAAAATGAAATCTATAACGGAAGTGGATAGGTTATTGTATCCGTTGTTGAAGCAACATAGGGGTTAGGACATGTTTGGTTGCTCTTACGCTTAAACCCAACACTCATAATGAGGACACTGACACCAAAAAAAAGACACAAAACACAAATAGAACAATACAACAACAATGTGAAATAAAATAGAATCAGAAAATGATGGAAGAGAAGAAGACACAGTATACCAGACAATCGGAAGAAGACGATTATCGGTGGAGGAGGCTGTGGCGAAGCAGACGATTATGTGATGGAGGCGGTGAGAGAAAAAACGAAACAAAATGAGATAAGATGGTGGAGAAGAGCTGGTGGTAGCAGATCGATAAGAATGTGGATGAAAGGGATTGGTCAACAAAACGATTTATCCGACATGATTTAAAAAAAAATTAATTGTGGACCAATAGGAACCCTTTACTGTTCCTAAGGGAACATCAAATTTATATATATAAAGAATAATAATAATCAATTTTTAAATAATAATTATAGTATTAATCGATTATATGTTATATTAAATGATTTAGGCTAAAAAAGAAGAATAACTTCCTAGTCTAGTGGTAAGCTGTTTGGATTTTATATGGAGTCCTCCTAAGAGGTGAGTTCAAATCCCCATTGGAGGCATCTTCTCCCCCTTTCCTTTAAACGTTGATTTTTAAAATAAAGTAATGCCACCTCATCGCTTAAGTGGCACTACATCAGCCCAGTAAGCGTCTATGTGGCACGCCACATATGCAATTAACTGGTTACTAACCTGCTCAGAGGGTAAAAATGCAAAAAAAATTTACAAATTTCAGTCTTTAATAAACCTAAATTTCAAAAGGTAAAACCAAACATTTTTTGAAAATCCAAAGGCTTTTATGGCATTGGCCCTAAGATCCAAAGGCTTTTATGACATTGGCCCTAAGATAAAATTTGTTCAAAATGTTAAAATTCTGTAAGGAAAGATTAATTGCTAGAGGGTTACTAAACATGAAAAAAACCCAAGAACTTCCATTTATATACAACACAAATTTGACCTAATTAGGTCAAAGATTTTCTCCTGCTTATAAGATCCCATTTTGTTCCAAGTACACTTTGAGCTAGACTCTGTTTTCCCTCTCGATTTAATCCATAAAACACATCGCGAAAATTAACTGTACTCGGAGCAATTCCAACATTTAACATCTCCGATAAAAGTCGCATCCCTTCTTCAGACTTACCTTCCTTACACAAACAACATATCAACATCGAATAAGTCCTGAAATCAGGCATCGGACCTTCACTTTTCATCTTTTGAAAAACACTCCACGCATCATCCATCCTCCCATTGCTCATATACCCACGAATTAACGATGAATAAGTAACGATTGTGGGTTCACACCCTTCTTCTTTCATCTTCTTAAACACCTCTAAAGCTTTACAAACTTGTTTTTCTCTAAAGAAATAAACTATTAGCGATGTATAAACATGAACTGTCGGAAAGATACTCACTTGTTTCATTGATTCCATCTTCTCCAATGCCTCCTGTAAACGTTTTTCCCTTAGTAGTCCATGAATCACGCTTCCGTATATATACCCGTTGAGGGTATTTTTGTCCTTTTCTCCGACCTCATCCGCCATTATCAAACCCTCTTCTACCTTACCTGATCGACAAAGAGCCCTGATACACAACGAATAAGCCAATGGAGTGGAAAAACCGAGTTGACATAAGTTTTTAGCACATGATTTGGCTTCCAACACGTTTCCAACTTCACATAAACACCCAAGATATATTTCAACCAATTCTTTATCGGGTACAAATCCATCTTCACTCATCTCCATGAACATCTCCATAGCTTCATTGACTTTTCTACCCTTTTTCCCACAAAGGGAAATGATCAAAGATTTGTATGTGCTACTATTAGGACTACAACCTGTTTCCTTCATTTCTCTGAAAATTTTCAATGCGATTTCAGTCAAACCTATGCGACCATATTGCAAGATCATGATCGTCCACGTGTCTGATGAAACCAACAATCCTTTCCTTCTCATTTCATGAAACAACATTCTCATTTGCTTAAAATCTTTCCCTTGTCCAGCAATCTTCATCGCCATGTTATATGTTTCTGCAGTGTGACTGTAACCATCTTTCTTTCCCACCCATGTGAAGAACTGCAGTGCTGCACCACCATGAAGCCTGCAACTTCTCAGCACCTCCATAACCAGTTCTGGTGTGATGCTATAAAGATCACATTTTTGTAAAGATTCTTCCTTTGAGCACCAACTCATTGAAGAAGATACAATCTTACAGACCCTATCAAGATCATGGTCAGTAAAAGACTTAGGAGGCGGCTCTATCTGGATTGAGCTTAAATCAAGGGTAGTTTCGTCTTTTTTACTGCTGGCTCTTTGGATCTGCTTTACTTGATGTATCTTCTCCAATTCTCCTTTTTGACCTGAATGAGATGTAATCCAGTTGAACATATTGTCTTCTATATGCAGCTTCAAAGCTTTCATATGATTGAAAACATTAAGAGCTTCATCAGACCTGGAAATCTTACAAAGTTCTTTAATGAAAACCGTATAACATTTGCTAGTGAGCTTCATTCCTTTCTTCTCCATACTCTTGATCACTTCCCATGCTTCAGAAATTCGGTTTTGTTGAACATAACCAGAAACTACAGCAGTTATTGCCACACTGTCTAACTCAATCCCTGTTTCCAGCATCATGTTATAAAGATCAAATGCTTTTTCAAACTCACTTATTCTAAAGAGGTGTTGCATTAGTTCTGTATAAGTAGAGACTGGTAATATTTGTCCGCAATCTTTTAGGCTTTGGAAAATTTGGAGTGCATTAGAGACATCATTTCTTCTCAAGTACCCATTGATAACAATTCCATAAATCTTTTTGTCAACAACATCTTTTCGTTTCAAGATATCAACAATTTCTAAAGCATCAGAGATCCTATCAGCACGACACATACCCTTCACCAAAATTTCAAAATGTTCAGGCTCGATTCTGATGTCTTTGTTCTTCATATCTTTTATCACTTCTAATGCCTCTCTGATTCTACCTGAAATGCAAAAGCTTTTTAGCATACACGTGTAAACGTATTGTTCAGGTATTTGTGAAATCTTTATCATGTTTTCAGCGACCAAGTGGATTGAATCAATGTACCCTGAAGTAGCTAAACAGTTTAATAAAAGTTTGTACAAATTTGTATCAGGTTCCATTTCTTTAGAAACCATCTCCTTGTAGAACTCCATGGCAATGTCAGATTTTACACCATTACAAAGTGTACGCAGCATTACTCTACAAACTGCCAAATCGGGTTCAAAACCAGACTTCTTCATATCCTCAAATAGCAACAAGACTTTCCCAATAGCATTTGATTTCCCATATTTAGAAATGAGGATAGTCCATGTCTTAAGATCCTTCTTACACAAGTTCTTCTCCATTTCCTCCAACAATTCCTCAACTATGTCAAATTGTTTCGTTTCTCCAAGTATATAAATCATTGTATTGTATGTTGCAGTTGTGACAGATGACTGATTCTTATACTTTATCCAGTTGAAGAACCTTAAAGCTAAATCAGGCACTTTGAAGCACCTCTTTAAAACCTTATTAACAACATCAGAATCAAACTCTACAGACATATCCTCCAACTGTTCCTCAATCGACACCTCACCCTTTCCACCCCTTAGAATTTGGGTAACCTCATGAACTATTGGACTCACATCCTTTTCAGCCATATTGGTTGTTGTAAGTTCCAACTCTGGATTCATATTGGCATTTTCACAAACAGCTTCTGTGCAATCCAAGGAATCCCCCGCCTCTCCGTTCCTTGCATTCATTATTGGAAACCGGATTCCTCCATTGGTATCCACATTGAAATTATGGGTTCCTAAAATTTGGGTGATTTCCTCAAAAAGATCAGCAAAATCTTTCTTTTCTTTTCCATTTTTCGTCGAGGCTTCTTCGGTGTTCTTTAGATTTGAGTTCCTTCTAGTGACGATTGAAAAACTAAAAGATCTTAGATTCGTCACATGAACGGGCAAAAGATTAGCACTCGAGTATACTGCTCGGAATTTGAACAAAAATTTCATACCTTCAGACTGTTATTCGCACAAAGAACAAGCAGTAGCAACTAGCAACCAACGTTTATTGGTAGATTTTCAAGATGCGCCCTTAACTTTTATTATCCTCGATTCGCCCCGTTTAACTTTCATTTATCCTCAAAATGAACTGATTTAAGATATCTATTTAATAATGAAATGTTTTTTTATTTATAAGTCTATTGAGTATTGAGTATTACTTTTGAATAAATAATACGATCAATAAATTTCATCAAAGAATGCAAAAAAATAACACCGCAGGTCCGCAGTTTAATATACAAAACATAAAATTAAACAATTTAGTTAAATAGTTAAATTTGTTATTTTAAATATACAATAAATAACTGAATCTAAATTTATATTACTATGTCTTTTATTTGAAATCATATCAATTTTTTTTATGGATGCTATCTATTTACATAAATCATCACATACGAGTGAGCAAAAAAACATTATTACACTCACATGAAAATACACAAAACACTCACATTATTTCCCTTTTTATAATCAAATATTACTCTTGACGATGTAACTTAACTATCGAAGTCGTCGAATATAATAAAATAATAAAAAAAATATTACTCATAAAATTTCTCCAACGGAAAAACCCGTTAATTTCCTCTTTCCCTCCCTTCCAATTCCCCGGTACCCCCAAATCCCTATCCGCCATTGCAGCACATTCAAAGCTGTTGAGCGGAGGGGTACATGCGATGAAGAGAAGAAGTCATAACCCGAAACAGACCCAAGGAAATTTCTATTTTTTAAGGTTTTGCATGGAGACCTAGCTAGCAAAACCATATAAACTTAACATTCTATCGACTATATCCACCGATCTTGTGTTGTTTCCGTCAATTTTGCATCGTGTTTTCCTCACAATTCCCCTCGAGTAATCAACGTCATTCGATATTGGGGTTTTATTAAATTTTCTCCTTGGTCTTGTTCATATTGGTGAAATTAAAGATCAGTACATCGTGGGTTGGGTAAAGTTGATTTCGTTCGATCTTCCTGTTTATTTGGCCGTGTGTACAAAAACCGGTGATTGCATTTCGTATCTGGTTGTTTAGTATTTTCATGCTCATCGTCATTGCTTCCTCTTATGAAAAGGATAGTGAGTGAAACTGAGAACTTATACATGAATACTTGAAGTCAATAGCTAGCCTACATCTTTTAAATCATTTTAATTAGATGGGAAATAGATGTGGAGTACCAAGGTGCTTGAAGCATGGATTCTTTGGATCCATATGGCATTCATTATGGTGGTCCAGGTCACCAAATTATATCCAATATGAAAAAAGAAGAGCAAGAAACCAACGTCATCATAAACATAACAAGGTTACCAGACCTGTCCAAAATACACCTCCACATGTAGTAATCATAGCCAATGAGGACCATAAACCAGTGAAGCAACAAAGCAAACCAACACAGAAAAATGAGACATCTAACACCATGAATCCGCATCATAGGAGAAGGAAGTCAAGTGCAGGTCTTTTAGTCGATAAAGTCTTGAAAAAGAATACTGGAAATTTAAGAGATCGCTATGCAGTTGGTTTAGAACTGGGACATGGACAATTTGGTACAACTTCCATTTGCACATCAAAGAAAAACGGGAAACAATTTGCTTGCAAATCGATTTCTAAGAGGAAATTAGTAACCGATGATGATGTGGAAGATGTTAGGAGGGAGGTTGAAATTATGCATCATTTGTCAGGACACCCTAATGTGGTTTCCATTGAAGGTGCTTATGAAGATGGTTTTGAAGTTCATTTAGTGATGGAACTTTGTGGTGGAGGTGAACTTTTTGATAGAATTTCTAAAAAAGGTCATTACTCTGAACGCAAAGCAGCTGATCTTCTTAAAACTATTGCTAGTGTTATCGAGGCATGTCATTCTTTGGGTGTTATCCATCGGGATCTTAAGCCTGAGAATTTTCTCTTTGTTGATGAAGATGAAGATTCGTCTCTTAAAGCCATAGATTTTGGATTATCGGTTTTCTTTAAGCCATGTACCTTTTCAAGATCTTGCATGTTAACTTCTTCAATGAATTCATGTTGGAATATGTTTGTTCATCATGTTTATGCAGCCTAAATTGCAGGTGAAATCTTTACGGATGTAGTTGGAAGCCCTTATTATGTTGCACCAGAGGTTTTGCAAAGACATTATGGTCCTGAAATAGACATTTGGAGTGCTGGTGTCATCCTTTACATTCTTCTTTCAGGGGTGCCACCTTTTTGGGGAGGTGTGGCACAAGTTGTAATTTTGTGAATTGTGAATATTCTCTCTTGTTTTATTTTGGATCATGAACCTTCTTCCTTTCTTTTGGTTACAGAAACACAGGATGATGTATTCTTGGAGATTTTACAGGGTGAACTTGACTTTTCCTTTGATCCATGGCCTTCTATCTCTACAAGTGCTAAGGATCTGATAAAGAAAATGCTAGTTAGAGACCGATGTTGGCGACTAACTGCTCATGAAATTCTTTGTAAGTTTAACTTTCTCTTTTTCTCCTTGTAAAGTTTTTGAAAAAATGTTGTATTTCAATATTCAGTTTTCTTACTTTCTTGATTCTAATTGATGTGTAGGTCATCCCTGGGTTAGTGTAGATGGGGTTGCTCCAGATAAGCCGCTTGATCCTGCAGTGTTGACTCGTTTGACTCAGTTTTCTGCCATGAATAAGCTCAAGAAAATGGCTCTTAGGGTCATTGCATCAAAGCTCTCAGAAGAAGAAATTGCTGGACTAAAGCAAATGTTTAAGATGATGGATGTTGATAATAGTGGTTATATTACTTTTGATGAACTCAAGGAAGGACTCAAGAAATGTGGTGCTGATCTTGACGAATCTGACATTCATGATCTAATTCAGTCTGTAAGTGTTATCTTAAAGAGCTAAATGCAAGAAACAGTAATGTACTTTCATTGATTTGTTTATTATTATTATTAACATATATGTTATCTTTTTGCAGGCTGATATTGATAATAGTGGAACTATTGACTATGATGAATTTGTGGCTGCAACTTTGCATTTTACCAAAAGTTGATAGAGAGGATCGTTTATTTGCTGCTTTTGCATATTTTGACAAAGATGGGAGTGGTTATATTACACATGATGAACTCCAACAAGCATGCAAGGAGTTTGGAGTCGCTGATATCTATTTGGAAGAAATTATGAAAGAAGTTGATCAGAACAATGTAAGTCTTTAAATATATATATATACATCTTTTTCTTGCTTTTTGCTAAAATATTGTTTCATTGACTTGAACCCTTTATTTTACTAGTTGTTTGACAATGTAAGTCTTTAAATATCTTTTTCTTGCTTTTTTTGCAAAAAGATTGTTTCTTTGACTTAAACCCTTGATTATTTAGTAACCCTTTTGTTTGTTACCTCTTCATGTACAATCTTTTTCTTGCATTTCACCCAAAAAAGCCATTTCTTTGAGTTGAAAGTTGAATATATGAGTTTTTATTGGTTTTTTAATTTGCAGGATGGACGTATAGATTATGGTGAGTTTGTTGCAATGATGCACAAGGGAACTACCAATTTAGGAAGGAATCGATCCAGGAATAGCTTTATCATTGGATTCAAGGAGCCGTTGGCTGTTTTTTGATTTCAAATATTCTTTTTCTTCATTTTTATGCGAATGAATTTCTCATATATTTTTGCAGAAGCATAGATTATTAAATTATCAAAAGATTATGAGTATGAATTCGCAGCTACAGAATATTGTAACATTTCTTTACATCAATAATTACTTGTCTGTCTTTGAACATGATACAATGGTTTATGCATGAATTACAACACCCCCAGTCGATATGTTCTAGGTAGGGTACAACCATTTTGGCATGGAGTACAACCTCCAGTGCATGTCATGATGCTAAAGAATGAAGTCACAGGCAATATAAGTGTGTAGGTGCTAAAAGACATATATATTAATTACTTTTGGTTCTTGTAGCATTGTTAAAAGACAGCATGCATGAAGTGTCTTACAAGAACACAAGATGACAACATCCATAGTTTCAATATTCTAATTCTTAATCATCAACCATTTCATCGACAAACATACATGTATTTAGGCATACATACACTTAGAATACAATATTTTCTTTATAAGTTTACATTTTCACTGAGTTGTTTTAATTTACTTTATGTTATTAAAAGGTCTTCTAATTGTTTGATTATCGAGTAAAAAATTTTGTGACAATAAAATATTAAATTTTATATGAGAAACACTTTCAAATTTAATTTTGATTATGACAGGCAAATTTATAATTTGAATTAATAATATGATTATAATATCTCTATTTATTTTGATTGTAGTACTGCAAATTACCCTTCACATGAGCTGGCAGCACATGGGTGTACGCCATACATATACACCAACTAATAATTTGATTAATTGTGAATTATTGAATCAAAGTTGCTTGAGGATATTTTGGTAATATCGCACATATTTGGGCTTGTACTATGCATAATTAGGCTTCGCGTGTTGTAAACCTCGTTTTAAAAGACTTGTACATTGTGTATCGAAAAGTGTTCCAACGGATAAAACATAATTATCAACAAACCTCCGCAGGGGCATATTGGTCATTTCACAAAAAATGAAAGTTTTACCCCAGCCCCACCATCTTCATCCATGATCCCCTCACACCCCACTGAAATCTTCTTGTCACACACACACATCAAGACGCCATTTTTATAACAAGCATTTGAATTTGAAGGCAGAATCTTTGTTTTATTCTTCAGAAGCACAAATCAAACCCTCAAAACTTCATTCAATCGAGGTATTCCGTAGTTTCCTTCCAAATCTGTGATATTTTCATCAATTGCTTTGATTTATTCAGTCTTTTGACTGTTTTCAACCCTTGGTTGACTGTATTTTGCTCAATTTTCGATACTCAAATTCGTTGATCTTCGTGTTAATCTACTAATTTCAGTAGTGTTAATTGAAATTTTAGTATGAAAGTGAGTGTTCCTACCTGATGGATGTCGGTTTGTCTAGGCTGAAAATGACAACAGTGGCATCAAAATTCCCCGAATCTGAGATTTTTCAAGGTTTCGAAACTTAAATCTCGGAAAATCCGTACGGGTTTTGTTTACTTTTGTTCGATTCGTGTGGGTTCAATTGAAATCGCGAAAGCGAATGCTCAAACAGTTTATAATTCACTATCCAAGAAATTTACTGATTTCAAATGTTTTGATCCGTTAACTTCGATGAAAAATGATATTGAATATGTGCTATCTCTTTTGACGAAATTTGAATAGGGATGGAGCCTGGCAATGGGGTTCATACGGAAGATGAAAATGGTGTTATAAACGTGGTAGATCATGAAAACTCGAATGAAGTTGAGGAAGGTCTCGAATCAACAAAAGTGGAAGTGAGTGAATCTTCTGAGAATGTTAATGGCACCAAAATACCAAATTCAAGTGAGGTTACTACTAATGGAGGTACTTCAAAGAACAATAAAGTGGCCAAAAATGGTTCTAAAGGTAGCATATTGGCTCGTAAGCCAAAACCCCATCTAACTCAAAGTTTATCTTTCCCTTCGAAACCCCAAAACCCTAATTCCATGAGAGCTAGCATTGATGGGCACCCTGGTAAGCAGCCAGCCACAGTATCAAATGGAAATGCCATGAATCCTGTTAATAGAAGAGCTTCAACAGGAGTAAAAACAAAGGAAAAGAATGCAAGTATTGATGGCACACCTTCTAGAAGAGCTACTTTGGATTCGGTTCGCGTGTCACATGTAAATTCCTTTTTTACCCCTTTCTTTGTAGCCTTAATCTGTTGTGTTCTTATGTTTTCATTGTTGTTTGTTTGTTTTAGTCTAGGAAATCTAATGGAAGTGAAGATGCCCCTGATGGGCAGCATAAGAACAGTGTGATTGGCTTTTCTTCAAGGTTGGAAGAGCGTGCTGAAAAGAGAAAAGAGGTACTTAATCATGTTGTATATAATGTATCCTTGTTGTTTATTTCATCAAGTTGTTGATGTATGTAACCCATATGTTAATCATGTTTGATCTTTGTGTAGTTCTTTTCAAAGATAGAGGAGAAGATTCATGCGAAAGAAGCGGAGAAAACCAACTTGCAAGAAAAGTCAAAGGTTTTGGCTTGTGAAATCTTTAGTCAATGAACGTTTTAATCAGGTGACAAAGTTTGTATTTTTGACTTGGTCAAAGTTGCAAATGCAGGAAAGCCAAGAAGCAGAGATCAAGCAGTTGAGGAAGAGCTTGATGTTTAAAGCTGCACCAATGCCAAAATTTTACAAAGAGCCACCCCCAAAAGTTGACTTGAAGAAGGTACTTGTAACACTTTGACTTTGCATTTATTTTTGTCAAAAAATTCATGCATGAGGTTTAAACGTACAAATTTTAGCAGGTTTATAAGATTGATGGTTAGTGGGAAATTGATTCATTTAGAAGTTATTATAGAGGACATCTTGCATGATATTGCATCTTTGCACTAAACATACCTTACACCAAAATAACATGTATTTCATTTCGAAAAAAGTTATTGAATTGCCCTAGGTACATAGGCTTTTCTGTTCAGATATTTTCAGATAAATGAAGCTTTTTTTCTTAGTTGAAAATGGGACTTTGATTTCCTTTTCACTTTTTCAATTCTCAATTTCTTTAACAACCTAATGAGCTTCTCTATCCCTTTAGTATAACCCTTACTTTACAACATAGCCACTTCCTCTTGCAAAATATGCATTCCACATTTCCACTAACTTAAATCTGCAATCTTTCTGATTGAAACTCTAAAATATTCTTAATTTATCAAGATGGTACCAAAAAAAGGTGCTGAAAGTGATTAAATTTGATAAATCAGATAAGCTATGATTTTGACTTTTGACAAAAAGAGGCATGACACTATGGTTAACTACCTACTGTAGGGTTAAAGCTTAGGTGTTGCTTCTTTTTGAGATAAAGGAGATTTGACTTAATATATATGGGTGTTTCTTTTTGACTTAATGCATAAAGAACGACTTAATAGAGAAAAATATAAAAATAGGCTTTCCGCTTTCCCCATTAAATTTACTAAATTTTTACAAGTTTGCCCTCATTTATTTTTTCTTCCATTTTCTCAAATAATAGAGTTTAGAAGTGTGATTTGATATCAAAGGACTTAACTGTGGTACCAATTAGTATTGTAGTATTATTGTACTACCAACTTAGCTCTGAAAAATGAGGAAAATACAAAAAAGCACACCAAAATATTTATACTAGTTATAATTTATAAAACCTGTATATTTTTTTCGACTTATTAAAACTCGTTTTTGCAGTTATCTGGTTTTGATATTTGGGCATCTCTGATGGTTAACTTGAAAAAAACTTATCATTTTAACCAAACCAGCTTTCCACTAACCTTTATTTAACAAATACCTATTATTAAAACTCACTCCATTGGATTAATCTTTCCAAAACCTTTTTTTTTTTTTTTAATTAACAAGTTTATCATCATCTATCTTCGATCTTCATAAATGCCCCTCATCTAATTTGTCATATTAAGTATATATGTTATATTTCTCAAATTAATATTACTTTACATTAATGTTATAATTTTCTATAGTATATATTCATTTTTTACTTTGTATATCTAATAAAGTAGAATAACTAGTCAAAAAATAATAAATAATTAATATGCACATATTATTAAGGTTTAAAATGAAATGTTATTCAATACATTTCTCAAAATATAAGTGTTATAAAGTTTTTTTTTTTTTTTTTTTTTTTTTTTTTTTTTTTTTTCTGTTTTGGTTTTTTGTCAAACCTCAGTTATGGATAAGCTAGCACGCCAAAAAGGGCTTAGTGTCTGGTGAGGCCACGAAAGTGCTTATAAGCTGACTTTTTATAAAGCTATTTGAGATCTCTTATTATTAAGCTCCTTGAGCTTTTTCACAAGTTTTCCAAATATATCCATATATGTTAAAACTTTTTTTACAATATTGTTTTTACATGTTTTATAAAACTTAGTATTTTTACATTTTTTACAATATCTTTTACAACTGTTTTTGCAATTTTTTCTATAACTTCTTTTACAACTTTTTCCCAATGTTCTTCTACATATTTGTTTTTTGCAACTTCTTTTTAAGATTTTTCATTTTGACAAAGTAGTGTTTTTACATATTTTTTTTCATGCAAGTAAAGTTGTAAAAAACATGTAAAACAGTCAAACTCATATTTTGCATATTCGCTTGTACAAATTTATTAAAAAAAAGTTGTAGAAGAACTTAGTAACAATAAGTTGGGCAACAAGTTGTCAAAAACGTAATTTAAAAAAAGTAAATTTGTAAAAAAAAAAAAAAAAAAAAAAAAAAAAAAAAAAAAAAAAAAAAACTAAGAGGCCATTCGGGACAACTTTCATGGTTGGTCTTTATGCATTAAAGTGTATAAATTGGTGCTTTATAGACATTTGAAATAGTTTTTAGCCAATTGCCATCTAGCTTGTCAGCTAGTTTTTACCAAACGCTATTACTTTTTCAGCTACCAATAGCTTATTAGACAAAAGCTAGCTTTTCAGCTAGTTTGCCAAACACAGCCTTAGGCTCAACATTTTAAAAAAATTCAAGAGTAATCAAACTACAAAAAAATCATATAATTCGTTAGTAAACCCAAATTTGACGATGACTTATGGTGTATATACATTGGATGTAAACATATTAATGTATTTACACCAGATTTGATGTAACTTTTGGTGCTTACATTGATACTCTTACGCCCAACTTACATCCTTATTAATATTGGGGTAAAATATAGAAAAACACAAACGAATTTTCACCATTTTATCAAAAAAGTAGATAAATCGATAAAACGGTGAGTGTACATTGTTCTTTTTGTATTTTTCCCACCTGCAAAACCGCATAACCATGAAACATAAGGTTTCTATCTAGTCAAGTGGCTAAATCTATAAAGTAGTAAAGGTAGATTATGTTATTGTATTGTATATAATTTAATAGTTTATTTTATACTTTGTGTATAGATACCAACAACACGCCCAAAATCTCCAAAACTTGGCCGGAACAAGAGCAATGTGGGTACACCCACCATTGGAACCACCACATCAAATGGTGACAAAGACAAAGACAAAGACACTACTGCTCCTGTTGCTGTTGCTGTTTCCAAGAAACCACTCAGAAAATCTGTATCCAAAAATGAAGTCAAACCTGGAAAGTCAAAGGAAAAGCCTGTAAAAACACAAGTCCAAGTTCAAGAAGAAGAAGAAGAAGAAGAGAAACCATCCCATGATCCAAATCCAAATCCTCTTCAAGTTGAAGCTCGGATAGAAGAAGAAGAAGTCAATGGTGAGTGTGAGCCTCCTGTTTTGTCTGCAGACATCGTTGTTGGAGGTTAAAACTTAAAACTTAAAACAACCTTTTTATAATGTTTAATATCTCTCTGTATCTAATAGGCTTTTTTTTTTGTTGTTTTTCAAGTTGTTAAGGTTTCTTCTGTGTTGTGAATAGCGACTGTAAGTTACTGGTCACATGTCGTATGAGTCTGTTTTTTCTGTTGTTTACTCGTTTATATGATGTTGTATGGATCTTTTTGTTTTTCTTTAAAACCAAAGTTGTAAAATTTGCGGAAACTGGTTTGGATCTTTCGCTTTGTGAAATGTGAATTAAAATGGATTTATTTTTTATCATATGCTTCATTCTTTTACAGTAAGGAAAGGAGTCTTTTTTTTTTTTTTTTTTATTAAATCGATTTGGAAGAAGATACTAAATATAAATGAATCATATAAGTTGGAGAAAGGGCCAGCTAAGATGTAGTTGGTGGTGTTCATCAATCATTAACCTAACAAGTAATAAGTATACATTCAATTCAACCAAATATATCAGTCAACATCTGACCAAGCTTATATTTTCATCCCACAGTATCCCTAAATAATTAAAATTTGAATTATTTAGATCCACGTGCAATTCTATATATTGTCTGTTATTTATTTTTATTTTTTTTGATAAATGAACATTCAATTTATTAAAGGGCATCTTTGAAACCTATGTTTTATACTATTATTTTGGCATAAAGTTTATATTATACCGTATAATAACATAACATCAAATTTGATGTTCTATTAAAATTAAATATATTGTTAAAGTTTCACAAGTTTAAAATGGTCCTTCAACATTGAATTTATGTATTTTTTGTTTACTGGTATTTTTAGTAATATAAAACATAATATACATTTTTAAATAAAACAAATAAGTGACATGTATTGCAATCTAGTAATCTGATAAAACACACAACTAATCATATACCCTTTTTTAATAATATAGTTAAAGTTATTAAAAAAAGAATACAAGTCAACTTTAATTGATAATTATAAGAGCTGTTTTTAAGTATTTATAAATCTAGAATATTTTACTTTATTTATTTGATGTAAAATGGATGAATAAAATTTAAGTTATGTTTGACACACTAACTAAAAAACTAGTTGTTAGTTTAAAAATTAACAAAGAGTTAATAAATTACCTAGTACTTTTTTTTGTTCTCGGCTTAAGACGGGAAATCTAAATCGTCACATATTTTCTCATTCATTAGCTGTAACCAGATGAGCTATATGGATCTCTTTCCTAAAATATGCTTTTTGCTTACGCTTCTTCGTCAAGCTTTTGAGTAGAATATCCCATACCTTTCTTTTAGTAGTGATGAGATGCTTGACAATAACGATAAATCCAGACATTAAGGTGTAACACAATGCCTTGAGTGTGAGATGGCAACCTATCTGTATCCTTTTGCATGGTCCTTCTATCACGAAGTTGGCAGTGGGAGTGGGACAAGAGCTCGGCTACGAGTATCTCCTTTTCAGTGACCTAAGACAGGAAACGGTTTACGAGTTTGCATTGCTGACATGCTCAGTGGTCATAGGGTATTTGATTGAAATTTTATTTGCATCTGTCTCCTTGAGGATCCATTAAAGGGATTGGAGTGGAATTTTCATTCCATCTATCTTGCTGAAATTTAGATATGTGATATTGGAAACATATTTTCAAATACCTAGACTTCTATTTTGAACCACCAAACAAAATAGTTATGTAGGCGGAATATAATGCATGCATCAAATACCCGTCTTGTCATTAATCTCATAAATTATTTGGTCACAACGATAACAATGTCACTGTTTGTAGCGAGCAAATTTAAAAGATAAAATAAAAATTAAAGATAGATTTTTGTTTGAATGGTTAAAGAGTCTATAATTATAGATGTGTTTAGTCAATAAAGATAACAAAACATTTTATTTCTACCTTTCTCTTGAAAAAAAAAGGAGAGAGAGAGAGACGGGATAAATAAATAAAGTAATAATCATTTATCTTTTAATGAGCTATATTATCTTTTCTCCTGAGTCCTGATAGATACCTTTGCTAATACGCAAATCATCTGCGTGTGCACAAAACGATTACCATGTTTTTATATAAAATGAAGACCCTTCTTGGAATTGATCTTCACAATCAAATAATTATGATAATACTTTTAATTAGACTTTCTCTATCTATTAATTATTAAAGAAAATGGATGGATGTGATGTCGTTTTCCTAATTACATGTTAATTTTTAAAAATAAAAAAGCATGACTTAATATTATAATGAATTTGAAAACGACAACAGATAAAACATTTCAACAAACCTTCAATCAACTTATACAATTTAATTATATTATTACTTTCTGTTGATTAATGTTTCATTTTTTTTTATATTTCTTTTGTCTTGTTTTGCTTTTTGTTCATATACAGTATTAAAAAAAGTCGCTAAAAGATAAATTAAGAACTTGATTAATTTTCATTGCAGTCGAAAGGTTCTAATAATTAGATATCTATATTAAATTACACCCTATAAAGGCTCTAATAAAGGAAAAAGACATTTACAAAATGGGAACAAACCTTTCACACCACCGACGCCTATTATATTTTATTTATTCGAACCAAAATATAATACAAAAAGAAAAATATTTATTTTCCTTTTAAAAATGATTAATTGTTAAAAAAAGAACAGTTGTTACTTTACAGTTTAATTATTAATGAAACATATATTTTTTAATTTAATATAACAAACTTATCATTTCATGTAAAATTTACATAAAAATGATAAAAACATTACATAAAATGTTATTTTGTTACTTTAAACAATTAAAAAATATATATTTTTTATATAAATTGCTAACAGTTATAAAAGTATCTCATATTTATACAATTGTTTGGACAAATACATTTTCCGCAAAAACCAAACATAATACATGAAAAGTAAAGAAAAATCGGTTTTTACTAATTACAGTATTTATAATAATAACACCCTCAAGAAAGAAAAAATTTGGAAAATTATTGAAAAAAATTAATAATAATAGAAAAAAGAAGGGTTTTTGTTGTCTCATTTGAGGATCTGATTCTCTGGGGAAACTTCGTTGAATGCCAAACTGCACCATTCATTCGCTTCCCCTTCCTTGCTTTATGCCCTGCCCTATTTTTGCACACAATTTTCCTACTGCCAATATTTTAATAATTAATCAAAATATTCCATTTCTTTTTTAATCAACCCACTTTTATATTTAATAAATTAAATACCCACCTTTTTTCATATATATTTTATATATGTAATATGTGTGTATATATATATATATATATATATATATATATATATATATATATATATATATATATATATATATATATATATCAATAACAAGTTGTAAAATGAGAATCCTGTCCGAATACTCCAACTATCGAACATGCCACTTCCAATAATTTCCCTGCATTTACCAAAATAATGAATTATAAGTTTATTATTTTACCAAAAATAGATCAATACATAACTGCATAACAATCCAAGATATTTGATGAAACGATGTCGTAGTAACCTGTAATTAATGCAACAAAAAACCTGAATTGACTATCTTAAAGTAGGATATACCCCCTTCATAACTAAGCATTATATGCTTAATAACTAAGTCTTTACCTACACTTAAAGTGACACCAAAGTTTCTACTATTACAAATATTTTAACCACTCTCTTAAAAGTTGTAATTTCAAATTTCCCCCATCAGTAAAAAAAAAAAAAAAAAATTACCAAATTGGCTAACAAAATCAAGCCTAGCTCAGTTGTACCTTATGCTATGAAAGGGGTAATCTACTCTTTTAAGTTTCATGAGTATAAAGTCATATGAGTGCAATAGACGCGGACGAATATTCCATGTGACCCACCACAACAGACAACCATTAAACTTATTCCGGCAACTACTCAACGGAAAGTTCTTGCAACAGGTCCGATCAGATTATTGTAATCGAATGACGGCATTAATAATATACCAGAAAGATTAAAAGTAAGAAAGCGTACCTCTTCTTTGCTTAGCCACGACCTTAGGCGCCGTCGTCGGTGCAACCTTGCTAGCTGGTTTTTCCGTCGGCTCTTCCATAGGAAACAATACCCCATCGATACCTTGCACCGATATCCTCCCATCGGTGTAAATGTCCGGGTCAAACAAATACGCCGATCCCTCACCTTGCCCGAATTTAACCGACCCATCGGCCTCCTCCGCCACAACTTTATGCGGCAACCGCAGAGTGTCGTATTGAACCTTTCCGAACCGCCTTACCGAATTATACATACTCTCTTCGGTTTGATACTCTGGTACCAAATGATAGTACATTATCTGCTCTGGTGCACCCGGATCACTCAGTTGGTCGGTGGTGAGTTTCGACATGGCTTCATCATTCGGTGCCAACACCGTTAAAACATAACCCTCCGACACTAACTTACCCATCTCCGTCGCTAGCGACGTCAAATTTACCAAAATGTCTGCTAATTCGTTGTATCCACCGTAATGTAGGAGGGTTTGGATGAAATCTTTCACCTGGCTCTCGCCGTCGAAGTGGTGGCGTGGTCCACCGGGTCCCGGGGCTGGAGCCGGAGCTAGAGAAGGACCAGGTGCCATTGCATCGTATACAGGGAGAACTGGTGGAGCACCTGCAGGAACGGGAGTAGCCGGCTTTTTCAACCGGTGGGTTCTGGGATCGACAACAGGAGCACCTTCTGGTAAAACAGCAGAAATGGAAGTCAAACTCCTCCTCCGGTTAAAATCTTCTTGCACAGATCGAGGCACCAACAACCGCTCGATCCCATGGATCAACCCGTCAGGTCGGATAACATCATCGGGCCTGGTGACTCTGGCTAGACCGCCCACTATTTTCTCGCCAGAATTCCCGCGGGTCAACGGCAAACGGTTGTCAGCTTCATCGACACAAAGCGTTTTATGATGAGCTACCGATTCAAAATCCTCACGTGGCCATTCTTTCGACCCGACCCGAGACGGAATAATATGGAAAAGCAACAGATTCTGTAGCGATTTCAGATTACCAGGCTCGAGTAGAAACCGCTTGAATTCAGGATCCATCTGCCTCTCCAGAGCTTCATTGTTGGGAGCAAAAATGGTGATATTATGACGCGAAACCGCTTCCTCGAGGGTTTGTAGAAGAAGAGCTTTTTCGACGAGTTCAGATAGCTCAGTGTAATGCGAATCGAGAAGCGCTACGAGAACGGAATTGGAATTGATCTGGGTGGAGTTAGATTTGGGGTTTTGATGCGGCAATGCAGTTGAATCAATGGTTATAAGAAGAAACGTTAAGAATATAAAGTTCAATGCACCATAGTTCAGAGAACCCATGATGCTGAACTAGGAAAAACAAAAGATCAAAAGCAGAAGAAGAATCGGAAGAAGAAGAAGAAGAAGAGGAGGGTGATTAGGAGATGGGTACTCCTTTATTTTACTCTTTCTCTCTCTCGAGAAATAATGTAATTGAATGGGAGTTGTCGTTTCTCTTTCTAGGTTTTGGTCCTTTTGAACATGGTGGTGAGAGGTGAGAATGAAAAGGGGAAGATGGGTTTTGTTTTGGGATTAAAAGAGAGTGGGAGACAGGACAGGTGGTTGAAAAACAGAGAAGGTAAGTGAAACGACATGCCCCGATGCCGTTTTACGAGTTAGGAAGAAGGCGTAGGGTAGCACAGGCTGTATGTAGGGACCACACGTGTGGAAGAAAGCATCCTGCTTCGGCTCTCAAACGGCTTGGCTTGCTACTAGGCTCAAAGAGCCTCTAAATAACAAAAATAGAAAGTTAAATGTAAAGTAAACTGACATACATACTTAGGGTTAATGTCATAAAAACCCTTAAGTTTTCAAGAAATGTTCGGTTATATCCTAAGTCCAATTTTATGTCCACAAAAACCGCACATTTAGGCAAAAATTGTCATAATACCCTTATTTTCCGATTTTACCCTTCTATGGCATTAGGGGGTGTTTGGTTCAGTGGTTTGTTGTTCATCACCATAGAAGCTCAAATATATGCTATTCATACTCAACGAAATCCATATATTGAATCAATAAAATTCCATTTAACAATCTCTGTTTGGTCTCAAGGAATCAATTCTCATGAACAAGATCATCCATTCGTAACCCAGAAACCACCACCACCTGTGATATGCATCACCATCACCATCAAATATCAAACATCACTGCTACCATCCCTGAAATCCACCACCGCCACCACATCTACATTGACATCGTCCACCACCACCACCTCCCTTTCTTACCCATATCTAAACTCAGTGCCCAAAATGATGTCATGGGTGCTCAAACCTAAAAATTAAACCCAACTATGATAAATTGATACCCAAAATTTAAACTCAAAAACCACAGATGAAATCAAAATCGTGATTAGCAACACAAATGCACAAACTTGAAATTAAACCTAAACTAAAACTTACATTTTTTTGCTCTAAGGTGAAGGAGATGATGGTGATGAACAATTAAGGGCAGCGGTGGGAAGTGGGTAAAGTCGTAGAAGTTTGCATCTGCTAAACAAACAGGGGCGACGACAAGAGTTGGGTTTCATGGCAGTGGTTGGGAGAAATGGGGGTGGAATTCCGGGGAAGAAATGTTACATCGTTCGATTCATTGGACTTGAGGTTCGATTCAGAGGGGAGCATCGATCTTCAGGGGGTGCTCGTCGGTTTGCTCAACAATCGAATGAGGTGCTGGAACGGTGGTGAGCAGGAGATGGCAGCCGGTGGGTTTCTGACTCGTTTCTCTCGGCAGGAAGCTCACAGGTGGAGTTGATTTTGGTCTCCAGCAGCAATAGAAATCGAGCAAGAGGGCAGGGGTGTTTGGGTGACAATTACTGAACAACAAACCACTGAACCAAACACCCCCTAATGCCATAGAAGGGTAAAATCGGAAAATAGGGCAATTATGACAATTTTTGCCCAAATGTGCGGTTTTTGTAGACATAAAAATGGACTTAGGATATAACCAAACATTTCTTGAAAATTTGAGGGTTTTTATGGCATTAGCCCTACATACTTTAGATGATGTTTGTTTGTTTATTTATTTATTTATAAATCTCTTTAGATCTCTTTTCGCTACGTGGCATAAAACACGTGTAACAACTTGACTATTGTGGTTTTTTATTTTTCAGAAGTTTTTCTAAATAAAAAACTTATATCCGTGTGTTTTTGGTTAAGCAGTGGACCAAACACTTCAAACCTCTTCTCACCCTAACAGATATATATATATATATATATATATATATATATATATATTATATATATATATATATATATATATATATATATCGTCGCTCTCTCCACCCTCTTCCTTCGATCATTGTTCCTCCTTCTCCACTACTTTTGACCGTCGGCCTCGACCTATCGCCCTCAGCCCTTCGTCAACGCAACTCCCTTCTTGTCAACCCCCAATCGAACCTTTCAGATCGTTGATCACTGACAGGTATGTTCCTCGGTTCTTGTTTTCTCGTATGTTGAAATCGATTTTAATCGCTTTTCTAGTTAAGTTATTTTCCACTTCTGAACTGAAATTAATTTGTGGAACTGAAATCAATTTTTTAGTATGCTAAAATCAATTTTATTGTATGTTGATTTCTGGTTAAATTATTTTCCACTTCCGATCAGTTATGCTGATTTGTTTCACCTTTCATAGATTTTTCTGATTTGGTAAAATGTTTGTTGATGTTGTTGATTTCTGGTATGCTCATGTTTGTGTGCTGAAATTGTATTATTGTTTAATCCTTGATTAATTGCTTTATTTATTTTTTTGGTTTTCTGGTATGCTGATTTCTGGTATGCTCATATTTATGTGCTAAAATAGTATTATTGTTTAATCCATGATGAATTGCTTTATTCTTGTGTGTTGAAATAGTTGCTGATTTGTGTGCTAGAAGTTCTTATGTGTTGAAAAATATCATATTTGTGTATTGAAAATGTTATTATTGTGTTCTAATTTGCTTATAGTTGTGTTGATGGTTGGTCAAATCTTATAAGGTTATATTTTTTGTTATTATCAATGGAAGATAAACATACATGGACCAATGAACAAATAAAATGTTTATTGCAAAATTGCATTGAAGAAGTAAACAATGTGGGTAGAAAAGGATTGAGTTTGCACAAACACTCATGGAACAAGTTAGGAACAACTATTAAGAAAAACCATGGAGTGGTTTTGACTCAAAGACAATTGAAAAACGCCTATGACAATCTTAAAGCCAAATACACAGGATGACTATACTTGAAAAACAAAACTGACAACCATTACAATCCTCAAACAAACACTTTTAATTTAACAAACGAAGAGTGGGAAGACTTTAAAAAGGTGTGTGTGTATGTATATATATATATATATATATATATATATATATATATATATATATATATATATATATATTGTAACGCCTCGTTCCTGGTACACAATTAAATTATTAAAGTATTTATTTTTGAGCTACTCGACGAGTTGGTAGCCCTAACTCGTCGAGTAGATGCCAGAGAGGACGCGAGGTTTAAAGGGTCTACTCGGCGAGTCCAAGCATGGACTCGACGAGTAGGTCTGCCAGGAGGAAACCCTATTTTCGGGGTTTTGCACCCTATTTAAGCCACTTAATCCCCCTTTGGGCCTCCCTTACCAGCCTCCATGTCCTCCAGAAACCCTAATCCGATTGAGAGCTTCACCTTTGAGATTTTGAGTGTGTTTTTGTGTTATAGAAGGTAGTTGGAAGAGCTTGGAGCTATCAAGCGCTTGTGGAAGAGGATCAAGATCCAGGATTACATTCATCTTTGGCAGCCTTCTGAGGTAAAAAGCTCTTAGCTTGATAACCCATAGCTTAGATCTCCTTTAATGTTGATTTGTGGGTCTTTTTGACCCTTTTGAGTAGGATAAGTTGCTTCTCATGGGTTGTACGCCAAGCAATCCCTCTTTCCTATGATATTTAGCCTCTAGAGTCATAAAAGGAGTCTTGAACCCGTTTCCATCCAAGCCATGGTCATGTTCATGGAAGTAGGTTGCTATAACTCAAGTTTGGGTCCATTTGAGGTGTGCAAAGCCATCAGGTCTCCAATTTTATAGAAATGGACCATGGAAACGACCTAAATCTGTATTTTGGAGCTATAGAAGGGTGAATCCAGTTAACTAGGTTAGATCTGCAAGGGACTCAACGAGTTCATAAGGGCACTCGACGAGTCCGATGTAGAAACCTCAATGATGTTCATAGGACTCGGCGAGTTGATTAAGGAAATCGACGAGTTGGATGATCTTGTCCCTTTTCTGATTATGCCAGGGCTCGGTGAGTCTGAGGAGAACTTGATGAGTCAGTTCAACCAGTCGCGATGACAAGTAGCTTGGGAACTCGACGGGTCATGGGGTGACTCGGCGAGCCGAGTCGCGATTCCAGGGTTCTGAGTTCTAGGACTCGGCGAGTCACAAGGCTGACTCGGCGAGTTTGGTCAACTTGGAAAGTTGACCTTGACCAGGATGTTGACTTTGACCAGGGGTAAAATGGTCATTTTACCCTAAGAATAGTTATCAGTTTTGACTAAGTGTCATTATGGAATTTATAGCTGGAGAGTCGCCGGAGCAACAGACAGGGATTCCTCACCCAGATGTTCAACAGTCATTCATACGAGGTGAGTTTCCTTTCATTAGGGACGGGTTGAAGGCACCAAGGCCAGCCCGTCTATATGCATGTTAGTAGCAGAGTGTGGGCGGGGCCTGAATCTCGTAGCAGTCTAGTGTGGGCAGGGCCCGATTCTCTTAGTATTACTTGAGCATAGATAGGCGATTACTTGGTAGATATACTTGTTGTCTGTGTGATACTTGTATGCATGTTAGTAGCGGAGTGTGGGCGGGGCCCGAATCTCTTAGACAGCGGAGTGTGGGCGGGGCCCGAATCTCCTAGACAGCGGAGTGTGGGCGGGGCCCGAATCTCCTAGACAACAGAGTGTGGGTGGGGCCCGAATCTCCTAGACATCGGAGTGTGGGCGGGGCCCGAATCTCCATGAGAGCGGGTGGGGCCCGTGTATCCTAGTTGTATGATATTTGTATGGTATGTGATAGCTTGGGGAGACTCACTAAGCTTCGTGCTTACAGTTTCAGTTTTGGTTTCAGGTACTTCTGGTAGCAAGGGGAAGGGCTCGGGGTGATCGCATGACACATACCACAACATTCAGCCTGAGATTATTTTGAGACTCTGATCTTTTATCATATGTTTTGTCACAGTATTTGATACGACATTTTGAGATACATGATGTATGGTTTTCTTTATGATTATGGGTGATTTATGGTTTTATAATAATTTTCAAAACGAAATTTTTGGACAGTGTTTTTGGGATGTTTCATATATATATATATATATATATATATATATATATATATATATATATATATATATATATATATATATATATATATATATAATATTTATGTATAGAGTTGGCAAATATAACTTTTGATACATTGGGCTTAGGGACATCCGAAGGCTGCTTCCTTGAAAACTGTTCTATTGTTGTTTCTGGAGCTTTGTGCATACCTCTTTGATGGAAATGGTGCCACTATTAACCTCAGCTAGACCACAAACCAAACAGCATCGAGACATG